GGGGAATGCTGCACACACACTGGTAAGTGTATTGCCGTGATGTATCAGAGACATCAAATTTGACCATGGAGCATTTAACTATTTGAGGCTCAGAGGAGAGAAAAGAGGCTTCGAATAGAAACTTTGAGAATGAATATCCTTCTTTCTATTTTTTCTGGCCTGTCATTTTTCATCAGTGTTTTCTCCAAACAGACCCACTTGGCTGGGTTATGACTTATTGCATAACAGACAATGGGGTCTCTGCAGGAAACAAGTCCTAAATAATAAGAATCCTTTTAGTAAATGGGTCATTTCAGTGGCATTTTCATTCAGAATCTACAGCAACACGACATTTCCATGAGCATCACTGATTCAACAGATAGTGGAGGGCATGAGTTTTGACAAATTTGTGACTAATGTCTTCTGACATCAGTGGGCTGATGTCATGTTTTATTATCCACTGGAAGCATTACTCTTTCAATCCCACAGTTTGAAAAAGACAAACTGCCTGCTGAAGCTGATTTATTCTAAGTTTGATCACTGCAAAATGACTGCCCTCACTGATTCAATTACATCATTTTTTAGAATGATGTATTCTTTCTGAAATAGATGTGGGACTATTTTTGAATCATGGCTTGTCTGTTGTGCCCTTGAGCTGGTCACCTAAAAACTCACTCAGCATTAAATGTCCCCCAAATATAAAACCCTGGCTGCAGCTGGCCCCAAAACTGAGAGTTGATGGGGACAAGATGCTAATCATGCCCTTCTGTCTCCTGCATCCCTGCACCTGACAGCTACATACCAGACTTTCCCCCATTTTTTTTAAAGTCAGATTTGTCATCTCGACCTATTTGGCTCTGCGAGCACGCTTAGTTAGTGATGGTGCAGTGAGTTATTTAAATGAGATTTGACTCACAGCGGCCTGGCCTTCCCTGGAGCTCGAATCAGACGGGGACAGCACATGGGCCCCCTGTCCAGCCTATTATCGTCCTCCAAATATGCCATCAAGCCGTCTGTGGATAACAGTAGTTCCCTGTCCATCTTTTGGCCTGGCGTTCACTCAGTGTAGCCGAACAATGTCCAATCAAACCCCCTTCAGAGGTGTTTTAGCCAAAAGCATTTCCCGGCTGCCAGTTTCTCCTGTGTGACCCTTTCATCTCCTCGCCCCTCTGACACATTTAGCTCTTGGATATGAGGGGCTCTTGTGTTTGCTGTTTGAAAAGCGAATCAAGCCCTCTCCCTCCACATGCAGTCAGCTGATCTATGCAGCCTCAGTTAATGCAGTGGAGTTGAGTTCTCAGCACTTGTTCGGTTTAATGCCGCAGCCTCAGAAAAAAAGAGTTTGGTATTTTAAAGTTTTTTAATCCGAGTGCAGTATTTAGCATTTAATGTCTGTGCCGTTGAGTGATGCATTTAAGTATTTGTGTCATATTAAATACAATGAAAATTTATTTAGAGGGTGAATCAATTCATGGGGAAATAGGTTATTAATGATGCAGTGGAATGGATTTCCTGGATTAAAAAAAACACATTTTAAATCAATTATACTCTTGATTGGTTGTTATTGTTTGTCTAAGATCTAAGAGAATTGCAGCAATCAAATGGCTCTTGGGACTTAAAAAAGGTGTATCAGATAATTGGATATTGATTGAGATCATTAGAGCAGCGAGTCACATTTTTGTAGACGCGCCTAAATGAATGTGAAGTTTGTATTAAAATCAGCATAAAATGTGTTTACAGTCAATTACTGCCTCCAGTTCTTTCTCACACCAAGATGCTGAATAATTAATCCACTCCGGTTGATGAAACCCATTCTGTTGAGAAGAAAAAGAGAATTTCAAGTTCTAATTGAAATAAGCAAATGGAAATTAGAGAAATATCCACATGTTGTACCAGAGCAGCAGCTGGATTATTGATTCAAGTGTCAGTGGTGGTTAATCTGGTCTCATAACAACACATTTAAATGACTTAACTAACTTGATGGTCCCATCCAGTTCTATTACTATCCTGCTGTACATAGTCAAGTGGCACTTGTACAAAGTTACATAACACAAAGGGCAATGTCAACATCTGTTAAAAGGGATTTAGGCATGAACATTATGTCTATGAAATGGCCTGGATTTTTTTGTATAGGGTCTTATGGAGGAACAAAATAACAATGCAGATATGGTCTGTTTTGTTTTATTTAATGTACAATGTTCCCATCAGTCGGGTTGACCTACTAAACTGTAACTCAGAAGCCTGGTGCAGATGCACACTTAAAAAAAAAAACATGGCTTTATTCCCTCCTGATTTATTAGCAAACACTACACTGTTGGTGTCTACTTTTTTGTACCTCTTCTCTTTTTGTTACGAGGTGAAAGCCTCCCTGTCTGTCAGTATCTGTAGACTTCATTTCAAAAGAAGCTAACTGCTCCCTGATATCGTTATAAAAGCTTTAACAACTGTATCCATTTAAAATGTTGGCAAATTTCAACAGGAATTGAGCCTGAATATAATAATTGGAAAACAAATCATGCATGCTTACACCAATGGGCTGTACATATCTGAATCTGAATATACTGTATATGTGATTTTTGTACTTGTTGTTATACTAATAACCTTCAGGAAAGCACATTTTACCTGATAGAGTAAGCCTGCGCGAAAGTATATGACAATGGAGAACTCGTACAACCACTTCATCCTCTCATCCTTTATTATGTCAGTATTTCTAACTTGTTGTCTACACATGATCTCTGGCTCTGCAGCAGCTTGAGTGTTATTGTGTTATTGATAGATTGCTCAATTAAATTACAGCTCACCAAATAGTTTGAACACAGAGGCACAGAATGTCTTCAGCATAATTAAGAAATAAGTGGCATTTTTCAGCAGGATTTTAACAGATCTTGTTTCAAATTATACAAATTATATGGTTATGGAGGGGGAGTGAGTTGTGCTCTCATCACTGACTGAGCTCACAGTCTTTCATTACTCCCTTATCATGTGCGACAGCTTTAATGACACGGTGTGCTGTCATCGTGTTGTCTAGCCCAAAATAATTTCTCTGTTGTGTATAATATATTAACACACACATGTATGTCTTTGTGCTTTAGGAGCAGAGCTCAGAGGGGCCTCCTCCACTATCTTTTTCCCAGGAGGCCAAAGAGGCGACTCTGGATAACCCGTCAGCCAATGACGAGCTGGACACGCCCACTTCCATCGCCTCCGTGGTGACATCGACCAATGAGAGCTCCACGGAGACCGACACCCCGCAGCAGACAGACACTGAGGTGCAAGGCTTTATGTTTGGTCACACTTTTTGGGAATTTTCACCACCTAATGTAGTTTGTAAAAGAGTTTTAATTGATTGGTAAATACCAGAGTCAAGTCTTTTTTGGCAATGATAAAAACATCAACTTATAGATATTCAAAAATACTTTTTACTTATATATTGAATTTATTTATTAAGTAATACTTGAACTGTCAGCCTATAAGATCCACTTGTCACTACTGTGACTACATTTACTGTATATTCTTTTCAACTTATTAACCAACATTTGTTTTAAGAAATATGAAAATATATGCATCCTAAAGAAAGGTGTCCCAAGCCATGTGTCTCGTCTCAGATCTCTCTATATTACTGAGTTTCAGGTACAAAAACCAACACCACAACAATTGTTCTGCAATTAGTTTATATTTAAGTGAGTTGCAAGATAATTATATGTTTTTGTGGTATGAGGTTTTGCTCACAGTCAACAACTAAATGCAGTTTGATAAACGAAACAATAACATTTCCTTCAATTTACCCTTCTTCTAAACAGTGGCTGGACCTCAAATTGTTTCATCAGAGTCAAATCCAAGCAAATTTTCAATGTGGGGAATTCATTACTGTTTGGCAGGAAAGAAGAATTAATTATTTAGTGGCGGCTCAAAAAGCCAGGGTAGTGTTGAATTGATAAAAACACACACATTAAGTAAAACATGTTCCAAGTAAATTAAGACCAAATAATTCCTGCTCTGTAAACACACCATTTCTTGTAGCATTTCATAAGAGGAATACTAAGACCTTTCATACCAATGGGATTTTAAAGACTAACCTCTAATTATATTTGTGTAGAGATAATAGTTGTGGTGTCTCAATCCTTGCAGGAGTCCAAAGCTGTGGAACAAGATGGTGAACAGGCTTCAAATGAAGCCCAATCCCCAGGGACACAGCAGGAGGACCCCCAGACACCAGACACACCTGATCTCATATTGACTCCAGAGGTTCAAGATGACACTCCTGTTGGGCCCCCAACTCCTGAAGCCCCCCCTGAGTATGTCACACCACAGCCGCCTCCGCCAGTGGTGGTGCAGCAGCCTGAAGAGCCTCAGCCGGTGAACCCCGACAGGCAGAGCAGAGTGTACACCCTCCCTGACAGCTACAGGGGGGAGTTATGTCCGGGGTATGGGAGCCTGTCCCGGGCCACCCTCCATGGCTACTGGCCCGCCAAGAACTTTCAGACGGGGGCTCACTGCACGCTGCCCTTCCTCCGGGACAGCTACGCTCCGGCAGCTCTCAGCAGCCAGGCGGAGGAGGAAGGGGGAGAAAACCCTCTGGACCTGAAGGCTGAACACCCGGCTTCCAGTTACCCAACACTGGCGGGGGTCCACCAGTTCAGGCCAATCACCACCATGGAGCTACTCAGAGAACCCTCCAGAACCAGGTAAGAGGACGGTACATTAGATCAAACTGGATTGATCCCAGAGGGGAGTCTGTGTAAATTAGTTTTTCAAGTACTAGCTTGTTGTTTCCATGGTATCTACAGGTAAGGTCAAATATAGATCAGTCTCTAGGCTATGTGTATTTAACCGTTATGAAAGGGCCATGGGAAAAGTAAATCTGTAAAATGTGAGTGTTGTGTTTCTCATTCAGTCACTGAAGTACACTAAAAAGGCTGTCAGGTTATTTAAGGTCATTCTTTGATTCCTTTAAACACATTTTGTACAGAAAGCAGACGGGAAAGGAAAATGTAACTCAGTCACTGAAATATCAATAAGGTCCCTTTTCTAATGGGATCACCTTTAACACAGGCTACTGCAGCCAATAGAAAGCCAATTTACCATTGACATAAATAGCATCAATAACTTTACAGCAGTAGAAAGAGGATCGTTTTTAAATGCCTCAACACCCATTTAACTCCGTGGTGCACTTATGTACCTGCAGTTTGACTGGATTCAATACATTAGAGTTAGATTTCAAACAAAAAAACGTTTTAATGTCAGTGATTCTTATATATATTTTAAGAGTTAAAGGTCCCATGACATGCTTTTCCGGTTATTACCCGTCCCCTTGTGTGTTATGTAGCTTTTTATGCATGTAAACGGTCTGCAGAGTCACAAACCCTCAAAGTACACCCTGTAGCGAGTACAACTCTAACACAGAAAATACTGTGTATGTCTATGCTGCCCCAGAACGCCTCGTTGGAGATTTTTATTTTTCCATCTTTTTCTTCCTGAGTAGCCTATAGTGACGCAACGGGCATAGTGACGTAACGGGAGCTGCTTACACACACACACACACTCAGCCAGCCTTATCTTTTTTCAGCCGCGGCTCTGCGGATCTCCTCGCTGTGAGTGTGTGTGTGTGCTCAGGCTGAGTTCCGCGGTGTCTCGCTGTCTCGCAGACCCCACGCAGCAACCAGGAAGCGACACCAGTAATCCAGCTCACACTGTCCGCTCCTCGAGCCTCAAAGGGCGGAGCAGCGAGCCCCGCAACGTCCCGCCAACACGACACCCAGACCCCACGCAGCATTCTCATCTGTTTGTCCTTACTGGTGTCATTTTCTGGTTGCTATCGCCATTGTAACACATAAACACTGATGTTCCGCTGTAACGGTGGTGGACTCATCAGAACAGAGTGGGCGAGCTGACCAATCAGAGCACAGTGGGCTCATAGGGAGGGGGGGGGGNATCAACGCACAGCCCACTGCGCCACTCCGCCCATCTTCACACCTCTAAGTCATCAAGGCGCATTACAAGTACACATTACACACATATCATACATGTAACGGTCATGTGCTGTGGACAGTACCCACAGGAGCAAATTCGGGTGAAGTGTCTTGCCCAAGGACACAACGGCCTGACGCAGTGGCGGCGGCATGGGACCTGTAAAGGAAAATATGCATAATCTATATAAAAAACATTCTAACATCAATGTTTTTCCATGTGTGATTGCCAAATAATGAACTTGAATTACCATTTTATTCATAATCTGCGGTTTAGAGGTTGGGCTAAGCACAAATAAAACAAGAACATGTTCAAGATAGCCAGAGAGTGTAAGGAGTTATATATATATATATACTGCCAGAGTACAGCAGCAGAGGTAACAATGTACACATCGACAATCTGACACCTTATCACGGATGACCTGCTGTGAAAATTATAGATCACACTTGTAGCTGCACAGACACCTAGTCACCTCTAGCCTGTGAGTCAGTCCGGACAATAGAAAGACATATTGACAGCAGTTAAGTTGGAGCCGGTATCAATCAGGAATAGCAGCCTTCTGCAAAGTCAATAAATAAGGAGGTTTCACCTGCTATTGCCTGCCAGAAGCTTTTCCTTATCCCATATAAGTGACAGAGCTGTTCACAAAAGATACAAGCAACTCACTTATGCTGTGAAAGTCCCTGAAGCCCAGTCTATTACAAGACACCATTAAACCTGTTTTACTCTACCTGGTAATTATTTACGTTCAAATAAATAGTTTGACATTTTGGGAAATACGCTTATTGGGTTTCTTGCTGATAATTAGATAAGAAGATCGATAACACTTTCATATTTGTCTGTGAAATACAAGGCTACATTTTGGAGAGGAGGCGGAGGGAACATCTAGCAGGGCTCAGTCTTAAAGTAACAACCCTAACTCTTTAACACCTTAGCCTTGTTCCTTTACACAAACAAGACATACAAAAATAGTGTTTATTTTTACAATCAACACCTGAAATGATGAAGGAACCTGCAAACAACAAGGTATCACAAAATGTAAACCGTACTTAGCTGTTTCATTTGAATCTCTTTACAATTAGTGATGTTTTGAGGTACAACTGTGTTTTTTTAAAAGCCTTTTTCTAACCTAAGTCTTGCTGCCCCCTCCTATCTCAAGTCATTTAGGTTAAGCTAAGCTAACCACTTCAAGTGTACAGATGGTAGTATCTTTCTTCTTTTCTAACTCTGATCAAGAATTGAAATGTGAATTTCCCAAAATGTTGGTTATGACTCATCAAATCCTAAAATTCAAGATTGTTGTGTATTTTCTATCCTGATCCTAATGACATGCATGGGTTTCTGGGTCTCCTCAGAGGCGGTTATGATGATGCCTTCATGGCCCAGCTGGAGGGGAACCTGAATCCTTTCTTCCAGGCCATGTGCCGGGCTCAGACCCTGCAGTTCCCCCACAAACGCAGCAGCATGGTGAGCCTGGACAGCCTCCGCAGAGACCCCCGCTGGAGAGACCCCAACCTGCTTGAGGTCATCTCCATGCTCGGCCACCCGATGGACCCGGTCAAGTCCAATGCTGCCGCCTATTTACAGCACCTGTGTTACGAGAATGACCGCATCAAACAGGAGGTTCGCCAGCTTAACGGGGTCCCGTGCTTAGTGGAATTACTGGACCACCCCAAGCCTGAAGTCCACCGCAAGGCCTGTGGTGCTCTGCGTAACATATCCTATGGAAAAGACCACAACAACAAAATGGCCATCAAGAACTGCGATGGCATCCCAGCTTTAGTCCGACTAATGAGGAGGACGAGCAGCGTGGAGGTCAAAGAGTTGGTCACAGGTACAGCTCGATCTTTCAGTTTACCTGGAGTTATACCCTCCTGTCCTTCATTTTTATCTTTACAGTGTTTGATTTTTTGTACTTTTTACAGGCACACTGTGGAACCTCTCCTCTCACGAGCCCCTGAAGATGATGGTAATCAACAACGGGCTTCAAACACTGACGGATGAAATCATCATCCCGCACTCAGGCTGGAGGAGAGACGCAGCCGACCCCTCCAAACTGCTGAGTGCTGAGTGGACCACCGTCTTCAAGAACACCTCCGGATGTCTGAGGTAACCTTTGCTTCTGTCATGGAACAAATTACAATGGCTGCCCAAAAAGCTGACTTTTGATGGACTCAGTTGTCGCAGCGCTGCTGACACGGTTGTTTCCCACAGGAACGTCAGCTCGGACGGAGCGGAGGCTCGACAGAGGTTGAGGGAGTGTGAGGGGCTGGTGGACGCACTGCTTCATGCCCTTCAGTCAGCTGTTGTCAACAAGGACACTGACAATAAGGTGAAGTCATCATACTGCCATACATTTAGAGACTGAAGAAAACAATTCAACCTACAATGTACTGTTTTTGAGCGCATTAAACATTTTGTAATCAAATTGTATGTTGTTATAGTGACTAGGTCAGAGGTGGGAAGTAGTGGAGCACAAATACTTTGTTACTGTACTTAAGTACATTTTTCTGGTATCAGTACTTTACTCCACTACTTATTTTTCTAACGATTTTTTACTTTTACTTCTTACATTTTTAACACAAATACCTGTAACTTTCTACTTCTAACATTTTCCAAACAGGCTGGTTCCTTTAGTTTCGTTTTTTATCTTGTTTGGTGCATGATCATTATTATTTAGAGTCATTGGCGTGCCTATTGATTTGAACCACGATCTGTGTATCCATCATTTCCTGGTCTTCTCCTAAGAAGAGGGAGCCAATGAAAACGTTTGTCATGCTTTGGCCGTCTGTTCAGGCATGGATAAACATTCATATAGCTAACATGACCATATATCTTCTATTAATATAAATTAGGTCCAGTACTCTGTAAACAGCTGGCTAGTTATGGGATACGTCCTTTTTACTTCAAGTTACATTCGAGCCCATACTTCCTTCTACATTTACTTGAGTAAATAGAAGTTTAGACACGCTTCTACTTTTAGCAGACGTATTTTTAACCCACACGAGTAGGCTAGTCTGACTTCTCTACCTTGAGTAACAGGATTGTGTTTACTTTTGCCATCTCTGTATCTCTGACATACTTCTATATGGGATCTTTACATTTCCGCGGTATAAGGAATTATAGTAAATCAATACCTTTTAATTTGAGGAAGGGACCTTTCAAACATCCTCCAAGGCTCGCGCGGTATCCCTTTTGTGCAACATGATAAGAACAGGTTGCGAGGATGGCAACACTGGTTACACAATGTGCAGGTATACACGTTTCCCAAATCTCACCCTGCACGTTCTC